CTCAGGGGTGTCAAATTGCCAACCTGTGGACCGGTTGCATCATGCGGAGGCCGCACCCACCCCAGCTCCGGCAATGCGAAAAGTCACGATACGTCACGACACGTCACGTGACGCGGTGAGTTTGACATCTGTGCTCTAGCTGAAGAACTATAATTTTACAAAGAACGTAAGCAGTACAGACTCTCCCCATTTCAATTTTAATTATTTTAAAATTTAATTCACTATTGAAATTATCCAACTTTAGCCTCATTCAAAGCCATGGTAGGTTTCCCAACAGTGCAGTGCTTTTTAAATATTACATACACTCCTCAGCCATTTGTAATATTTAGAATTTTCTTTAAAAGGATTGGTAAATGGATTTTTTGCTTCTTAGATACTATATGAAACTTCGCACGTTTTTGGTTTTCTAGTAAATACATCACTAGCTTATTATAATTTCAGTTTCATCTCTGTAGGTTACACAAAACTTTGCTTTGAATAAACTTATACAAATATCTACTGTATCTAAATGATTTTAAATGGCCCTAAACCATTAAAGTTAACCTTACTTTAAATTGCATTGCTATTGCAAATAGATTATTTTCAAGAAATATTCAAATGTATTAGTTGTTTTATGAGTAGAGCTCATGTTTTAGAGCAAAAAAAAAATGCAGTTCACGGCTAGAGGAGCCACAGATGGTGTAGCCAGTCTAGAACAATTTTTTTTTCAATCTCAGCAACTTTAATGATGTATACTTCAACTCCCAGAATTTCTCAGCCTGCATGAAGTCTTGTCATGGATCTGCCCCTGGACCCCTCTCCAGATGCACGTTCAGAGGAGGGGGGTGAATTTTGAGTGCCAGCCTGATGAAGCAGCCTCAGCTGGGTCGATCCTACGAGAGACAGGTTGAGGGAGGTGAGCCATAGCTGCAGCAAGTTGGCCAAAAGGCTCCAGGCTAGGACCGGGAGCAGCTACACCAGGGACTGTTAACATGCTGAGCTTGGAATCTGGACCTGTGTGATGGGGGTGTTTTCTGAGGACCTGTTTGGGGAGTTTGAATAAACATCTGTAGAACTCTTGCTGTATGTAGGGGGGAGCGGGGCAGCACAAGTCTGCACATCAGAAAGTTGCTGAAATTATAAAATAATGGTGTAGAACAGTGTTTCTTAACTAGCAACTTGAAGACGGATGAACTAACTGCCAGAATTCTCTAGCCAGGAATTCTGGGGGTTGAAGTGCACACCTCTCTTAAAAGTTGTCGAGGTTGAGAAAAAACTAGTATAGAAGAATTCTATTTCACCAGCCAGTTACCACCATCTGATAATCTGGCACTCTGAGAATTTGTGTGTGCTTCGAGTTACTATATACCCCACTGCATAAGTCTGCCGTCCCAAGTTTCCCTTGATGATAACAGTGGACTCCCCTACCCTTCTGCCTTGGTTATATCCATATCCATATTGAGGATTCCCAAATAGGGATGGCTTAGCATTCCATGTATGCTATCATGATCGCAGATCTGGTCCAATTGTGACGTATCCAGAATACATGCTGGAAATCTTTTTTTTAAAAAAAGCTTTTAAAACAAGGGGCAGAGAAAGATCAAAACAACAATTTCTGATTTCAAGGGATTAACCTTAAAACCTTACTTCTATAGAAAAAATAATCAACTCCAGACTTGCAAGATCTAGCTTGCTCTTATACTAAACTTCAACAGCTCAGTAAATTAGACAGAATTGTGCCCACAAATTTGAGTACTGTAGCAGACATAAATAGAGCTTGCAAGCACTTTATCTCCAAATCCATTATATGGGCGGTTCCCCCTATGCTTTCTTCATTCCAGAGCAATATTATGGGCAAGAAAGGAATCATTCTATTACTGCCCTTACACTCTGCGCAGTATTAAAAAATTATACTTTCTTTAAGCAAATCACCCAGAGAATTAATCAAATCTACTTTCATCCAACCATTTACATGAAGGGAATTTTAATTATTGGAAATTAGACCAGTGCTTCCTGGGTTCTTTTTTAATGGTGAACCGTGTTCTATTATCAAAAACCTTTGAGAGATATTGGCATCTCTGAGCAGCATGCTATACACAATGTACCAGAAAGAGATCTGCAGGATTCCCAAATAAAATACAAATTCTGTTTAATTTTTTAAATATCACTTGAAAAAGTCAAGTAACATCTTTTAAATAAAATAGCCAATATTTACTTATACCAGTAAAGGAATGTATTATAGAAAAAGTAAAACATGAACAATACAATTTCAACTTCTGCAATTTTGATTTAAAATGTATTTTCAATTTAAGTTGAATAAATTGAGTGTCTCCTTCTTCCATGTTAGGGCATATACAAAAAAAACCCCACATTGAATGCACTCTTCCAGATACATGGGCTTTTGTAAAAATGTCTTTAGAATTATATTCAGTTGCCTTTTGTCCTACTTCTGCCACATATGTCCTTGAAGTTAATTTAACATCCAAGGCACCTGTCATACTCATGGCTCTGATTTAACTAAATTACCGTATTTTTTTAAAAAGGGAAGCCAACTGAATGAATAAATCTCAATTTCCAAGAATTGGAAATTCGGTATGAAATGATCCTCAAAAGCTTTCTTAAAAAGCAAGAATAGATGACTGTGTAGATTCACTGTTTCATTAGAAATTCTCATTGGTCTGGAAAAAGTGAAATAATAGAGAATGGGGGAGGGGGGAAAAGCCATAGGGAGCATCCACGACATATTCTCAAAATTTCTAACATGCCACCAATCTCCAAAGGTTAGAGATTTACTTGTGCCCAAGATATTGGGGCACTGCAACTGATTGTGACAGCGTAGCAGTCCTTGTGCTTAAATAATCTTTTCAACCTGAATTTTTGCAGCCCAAATTGAATGAATGAGACACATCCAGGCTAATAATTCAAACACAAATTGCCAGGCTAATAAATAAAGTGTAAATTAACTTTACTTATGCTAAAACAAGAAGTTCAAGTCCCATTTTGATATATTAACAAATTATCAAAAAGCTTGATTATAGTTCCGTTTTTGGCCCCTGTTTCTGAATCGATCGTTCCTGTTGAAACCACCGTTTCGTCTTCCATTCCTGAATTCCATGCCTGGATTTCGGCCTCCGTCACGTGGTGAATTTTCAAGCTCAGGCAATTCTGTCGCTACAGAAAGTTCCCAGCGTCTTGTATCTTGCCATGTTTCCTAATTTTTTTTAAAAAAAAATTTTTTTATTATTCTATAGAAAGAGCAGAACTGACAAACTTGCACGCTGACCAATATTTACTACTCAAAAGACACTGTTTTCAAAACATTTCAAAACTTGGTACTAAGATAACACTAAGAAAACAGTGTAAGTGAAGGGTGCTTTCATTTATTTATTTATTTATTTATTTAATTTAATTTATATGCCGCCCTTCTCCCGACGGGACTCAGGGCGGCGCACAACATATTTAAAACAAAACATAAATACATTCCCCCCCCAATAAAACCGAATTAAATCAAATTTTAAAGTTGTGTCTCTGTCAAATTGCTAAAAAATAAACCCCATATAAAATCCTCCCTAGGTC